GGAAATGTCGAGTGCTGGACGGGCCCGTCCACCGCTGACCAGCGTGGTGACATCCCTGCCTAAGACTTGGGAACCCTGAAACATAAACAGGTCAATAATAATATGTGTGGCGGATGTAAAGATAAATTATGTTTTTGTGCATATTTTGTACATAATAATCCTGCTTAAAGGATTTGTATAAGTACCATACATCAACACCCCATATTTGGATTGGAATGAAAATAAAATAAATCATTCTTTAGTTATTCAAGCTGCATACAATTTGATGGCTTTAGTGATTAAACCTCCGGCAAGAAGTCAGAGGTGTTGCTTTTAAAAATCCGCTGAAATTCTGTAAAATGCACTGATGATATTCTTGAACTTGGCATTGAGCTAACACTTGGCATCTGGAAAGCAGTGGTAAAAATAGGATACCGGTACTAGGACTACAAAATTTCATAGCCCATGGCATTGTATACCATCATTATTTTAGTAATATGTAGGGCTGGCTAGTATTAGAATAATATTAATGTCAATGTCATTAATTTGTCAACTAGTTATTCTGTCTAGGAATTGGTATATGAAGCTCAGGTATGACATTTGGTATTAATTGTTTTTATTTATAAACTATATTATATACTTTATTTAAAAAAGCAATTTTGAAATATGTGCTTGTGTCGTATATAGTATATCTTGACTATGAGTGAGATGATTAGTAAAAACTCCACATTGTCAAATTTTATGTGACAAAAAAATGTGATATGCTCATATTTGTGTGTACTATGATATCATGCCCAAATATGGACACATCACACTAATTTGTCACATACTCTAGGCTATGTTCACACATGGCAGCCAACGGTTAGCAGGATCTGGATCCTGCTAACCATTAGCTGCCATGCGTTCATACACACAATCCCTGGTCCGGATACCAAGAAGATGATGATCCATTCACTGACCAATAGGAAGCTGGAAATTTTAAACCTGTACGTGTGATTGGTTGATGGTAAAAATTCGCTCAACTTGCTAACCTATAGCACTCGCTAACCATTAGCGTATCCGAATCCTGGTAACGGTTAGCACTAACCGATCGGGCGTTCACACACGGGTGCTAACGGTTAGCTCCTGATCCTGATACTAGGGCTCTCATGTGAACCTGACCAGTATGGGATAGTGTGGGCAAAGCTTTAGGATATGATACTAGATTTACTATAGTATGCAATACTTTGTTCTAATTTTAGATACGTGCGTTTTTAGATGATGTTCAAGGCTGTAGTTATAACTCTCAAGTGTTTTTTACAGAATATCTTAATGATGTAACATTAACATGAGTAGATATAACACTCATGACATAAAGTATATGACCTCAGCTTCGTGTACCAGTAAGGTTGCTATTAGTAGTCACAATAACTGGATCTATATGTACAACAGTGGCTATGAAAGAAGGCCTATTCTTCACAAACAAAGCCATTGTTATGGGTGCATAGACCAATAAGTAAAAACCGACAAACAACTGGCCTGTTAAATGATTAAAGCCCGAGGCCATGTTGTGGCATATTTAATTTCTCTCTCTGGCTGGTGTTGTACAGTTTAATATTGAAAAGATGTTTATGGTGTATTGCTATCTTACTGGTCTTATACTGGTATACCCTTTTCACATACCACAATAATAACAACTTAGTGAAAAGTTGTGATCAAGTTTAAGTGATGTAAAAGCAAATCCATGTAAAAAAAAATCTGAAAATGTGTTCTACACAGAAAGTCTGTTATACTTTAGTTTGGCCATTATTTATTTCCCAAGGAACCTGATTCCAGATTGCCATTGCCTCCCTAGGTAACTGTCATGGAAGTACCGCCTCTGGGTCTGTCCTATTATGAGCACACTCCCAGGAGCCTATTCTACTGTAAGCACCTCACCAGGGGTTTATTGTATTTTACGAACATTACCAGCGGCCTGTCTTAGTGTAAGTACTTCTCCAGGGATATGTCTTTAACTCAGCATTAAGTTACTGACTTATAAAACAACTCCTGTGGTTCTGTTGTAGTATAAATTTATAAGTACTGTACTTTCTCAGTCCCAGTGAAATATTGCAGATTTCATATTAGGTATAGCAAATATTAAATATCGTTAATTTATTTAGGAAGTAGTAAATTGTAGTACAACACTCTGACTGTAGGCTTAAAAAGTGTAGCACAGTGGCAATAGAGCTATAGAATTTGTATTTGACTCCAAATGAATTGCAAGTGTCAGCTTACATAAAGTACTTTGAGAACATAATTGAATTAATAAGTATTGATATATCCTCCCACTGTCATGTTGTAAACTTGGTTTGTGTTGACTATCATTATTGATGAACCTTACTAGCATCCAAGATCATGATTTACATTCTATTAATAAAAAAAAATATCTGAACTATACCGGTACATTGTACTTAAGATATTTTTTTAGTACAATATAATTAAATTAAATATAGGTTACAATATTCTATTTGTGTTGACCTAATAAAATTTGATCAGTAATACTCAATATTGGAATTATTTACTTAGTATGCCTACATAATATGTAAATTATTGACTCAATTTAAATAATAATAATATATTAAATATTACAGTTCACATTCTTTCTGATATAGATCAGTATGTTGCAGTGAAATGTCTGTAAAATCAGTAAAAACTTGTTGTTTTCATCTGTGTCCAATGCTATAATTTTATTCAAAAATTATCTTCAGTGGGGATTTTTAACTTTTTTTTAGTACCCTGTATTTTCACTGTAGTGTTAAATTTAGTTAATATTTATTTAGTACCTTGGCAGGCTTTTTTTTTAATTAGGTGCTAATATAAATACAACTACTTGCCACATTATTTCAAAATGTCATTATATAATATATTTTCCTTTCTTATATGGTTATCATAATTATCCCGTTTAACTGACCTACTTTTAATCTAAATATGTCTGCTGTCTTGTAAACCATGATAAATGATATTTCTTCATCTTATCAAGTTATTTTGCAGTAGAATAGTATAATCAGACTACTGTATGTGGAATATGGTTGCATAATTAGAAGGCCCTGCGTCATTTGTATCTTTCTCATCCAATCCCGTAGTTAAACTTGTCAACGATAACTAATAAATGTCTCCAAATGCATGCCTTGAACCAAATCAACATAAAATAATAACATATGTGATGTTATCGCATGTATTATTCTATTTTCCTATAGCACTGAATCAACTGTAGACAGCATTAGCTCAATCTTTTAAGCCATAGCTCCCAGGAACTAGGTATAAATTCAAGAATGTCAGCTCTACAGATAAATTATTGGTTTTATGGTTTTATAGAGGAATGTTGCCTGGTGAATGTGTTGAAATCCTTTGGAATTATCCACTAAGGTGTCCAGGTAGATGTGTAGGAATTTGATTGATTATTAGGTCAGAAGCTTTGATTTATTGGTATTTAAAAATGTTTCCATAATACAAAAAAAAAAAAAAAATTTCCTGTATGTGTTCTGCCAACAGTATTATACACCACCATTTTACAGTTTCATTTTTTATATCCAGTTAGGTTCTTTACATATTACTGTCTTCCAAAAAATAGGTATTAATATTTCAAAATTTGCCATTTATTTAGTAGATTTCTTACTGTAAGGAGATATTTTGCTTGATGTATAAAAAAAATCTGTAAATCACATTTTAAATTTCAAGTATAGGTATTAGAATTACAACAAGATGAATCACAGTTCTTTCTCCTGTGAAATTCACATATCTCTAATTCATTTTCATAACTAAAGATCAAAATTGTAAATTAGCTTCTGATTCTTAGTTTTAGATTGACAGGATAGTTATTTGATATTGTATGATATTTTTTGCTTTCGATTAAAAAAAAATACCATTCTTGATCAAATTCAGAAGTTTAAGTTTGTTCTCTTTCTTTTATTGTTTATTAAGCTAGGCCTATAGTGGCCCAGCATCACATAGATATATTTGATGTCGCAGAATTGTTGTAAAATCTGGAACACAACATCAAAATTTCAGTAGTCACAATCAGCTACCAAAATTATAGTATGTGACCTTGTTGGTACAGTAATACAAACAAATACAGAGCAAGTGACATATAGGGAAATGCGCCGTTTTTTCGGATTGTTAATGCTATAGCATGGCAGGAAATTTCACATCGAAATCCAAGCTTTGTGACGTCTGTTCTTTAATCACAAAACCAATCTGTTTGGTTTCGCTACTCTTTGAATTTAAGTAGTGTAATGATTATTTAATTATTGCATTGAAATCAACACTTGAAGCAATGTGTTTTAGCTGCATGCTTCAACTTCTGACGGTCCATTTGTGGTTCTTTTCATTTTTCATTGGCCTTTGGTTATGTGTGAAATTCTATTTGTCTGAACTACAATGGAGGTGATTAAAGAGAATTGACGCATTTCAAACCCTAAAGAATCATGGGATTGATTTACTAACAATGGGTTATTTGTTATGAACCTCTCGTTAATATAATATATAAATATATTAATAATTAAGATTTTCAATTGGAATGTAGGAGTATGTATGTATTTAGAAAACATGCCCCCAAAAAATGCTCAGCATATTTGCTTCAGCAGAGGAAAGAAAACTTTATGCTTCTTTAAAAAAATCTTTTTACCAGAAAAAAAGAAGTTTCATACTAAAAAATATAGAAGTGATATGCAATATTACATACAATTTAAAGCTTCATATTGACATACGTATTTCAAATTTATTTATTTTCCTTAAGTTTCTAAATAAACAAACATTTCCTGTCTATTATATAAAAAATGAGGGGATTCCTAAAATTGACCATGAAACAGCAGAATATCTTGACTCATCTGACCCTCCTACTCACTGTGGAATTTCTGGACACAAAGGAACCATAAAGAAAGGAAGGTTTGTGGTTTGTGACATCACATTAACCACAAAATTATATGAATGTACCGGGTAAGTGCCTAAAAAGAACTTTAGTAGCTCATTGTCTGTTTGCTACTTAAAATTAGATTGGAAGCTTTACCTCATAGGTTGGTAGACATTCTAAAGGGCTTGGTTCTGATAGTCTTAATGCAGTAATTTTATATGGAATTTTAACTGGAAAATGTTCGTGTTGGATTGAATACATGTAAGGTAAACCAACATTTATGTTTGTAACTGACCCTGGTGTTAATTTCAAAGATGTTTTAACAGTTATACCTTTGATAAATATACATGGTAATTAATAGCCTTGCTTATGGGCATATTACAGATAGGATGGCTAATTGTTTTGCTGGCTTTAGTGGAGATGGATAGTTGGACAATTTTAGGAAATGGCATCTGGTTTTTCAATGATTGGCTAGAAAGTACAAGATTCTCATTCTTGCTTCCCATATGCATTTTGATTTTGTAAATGTAAGAGCTTGTTAGATTTTTATTTATTAGGAATATTATTCCAAAAAGGTTTCCAGACAAGGATCAAGCTGGTTTCTATCTTTCACATGTGCTCTAGTATGGGATAGGGGATTACTGGCATATATTTAAATACAGTAGTGTATGATCAAAATGTAAAACAAAACAACTTATTTCAAGAATGAAGGATATTGTTCTTTAGTTCTGTTTTGATGTCTTGTATTTTACTTTATAATCTGAACAACTATTCATACTACTTTAAAGTGATAAAATATTATAAAAGCACATTTGAAAACTACAATACCATACTTTCAAATTCTAGTTATTGACCCAGTGGTGTTATTTTATACTACAGTTGTCGTTTACTTTCAATTCTATTGAATCTGCCATTAAAAATGTTAAACAAAAGAGGAACATTTCGGAAAGAAAACCATCCGGAAGACATTAGAAGGCATTACCATAGTAGTCGTCACCTCATTAAGTGCTTAATAAAACTGATGAAATTGGGGAAGAAACACATTTATGAAAGACATGCAATTTACTGCACTCCAGAGATGCATACTCACCCTTTGTGGCAGTAAACACTGAGTAGTGTAGTACCTGGAGTCCTAAATGTAAATTTAGAGAAATAATTGTTATAGGTTTTTTGATTGGATGGTTACATCATTAAAGCCCTAGAACACTTCAGAGGTGACAATATTTTTGAGATTAGTTCTGGGGGACTGCCTAGAGATCTGATAGTGGAAATTGTGGAAGCATTTTAGAGATATTAACTGTACTCAATAAGGTACAGTAGTAGAATATACTACAAAAAAGGTCATCAACACTTTGACCACCATTAACATTCCTATAGTGTGATATACACAGAATTATTCAATGCTTTGGTAAATGGACATTTATATATTGCTCCCCAAACACACATTTTACATAAACCAGGTTTATCTCCATTCCCTAATTGGAGTAATGTCAAGCAAATATGTGGTAATTTATATATTAGATTTTCAATCAGAATTTAGTACAAAACAAAGTGAAGAATGTGATGATTAAAACAAAAATTCATAAATTGTACCTCTCCTGACATTAATTGATAAAATTATACTAGCCCATCTCGAAGCCCAAAGGTATAGTTATAATACATGACTGGCCCATCATGGGGCCCTATGACTCCTTAATATAGGTCTATATACATATTATCTCAGGGAACTGTATTAAAACAGTACTATTTGAATACATCACTTGAAAGGACTAAATTGAACTTAAATTGATATAGCGGTATGCTAATTGGGAAGTATTACATCTCTACAGTGGCATTTTAAAGTAATGACAGTGATTGAGCCTGATAGTTAAGCATGTTCTTAAGTATTAGCTAATACAAGTACACATAATGATACTGGTTATCAATTACCAAAGAATGAAATGCATCCATTCATTTACAAAGAACTAGTGCGGTTTCATAAATTATGTTGAACTTACTTTCTATAATATTTATCAGCTCTTGCTTTCGTCTACACAGTGGATTCATCCGAACTGTAGTTGTCTTAAAATGCTGAGATTTATCATTTCTTATATTGTTTTGTAGCAGAATAATGCGGCTACACTTTTTTTTCCCCATTATATTACAAATTAATTGCATTTCATACCAGTAGGCCCTGTAAATTAATTGGGCTGTACTTTGGTGGTTTAGGTGCTTGCTCTTTAATCCTGGGCTTGTCTGAGTCGAGTCCTACAAACATAATGGTGCTTCTCTTTCGACTAATGCCAACTAATGCCTCATGTTGAGACTGGTTTATAGAACATCGTAGAATTAATTCCATCATGAAAGCGATGAGTCACTTGTAGATTAGATGAGACTAAACTCATCGTACTATTAATTATGAGATAATTTGCATCCTTAAATAAACTGATGTAGTTTCACTTGGTTTGATGCATAGCATAAATATACATTAAATATATACTATTTAATCAATAACATCGTGTATATTTTATATTAAAATACTTAACAGGTTATATGTTCTTTAGTGAAATCATTACAAATTATTACTTGTACTTTAAAGGTGATAGATGAAGCTGTAAAAAAACTCTATTCATATATTAGATTGATTAATATTTAATCAATAACATCTTATATATTTTATATTAAAGTACTTAACAGTTTACATGTTCTTTAGTGGAATCATTACAAACCATTACTTGTACTTTAAAGGTGATGGATGAAGTTGTAATAAACTCCATCCATAGATTCATTTATTTACGGATGAGTAAAAGGAGGCCCTCTGGGGAATAAGTACAATAGACTCAATATCTGTCTATAAGTAAGACAAAGGCTAAAAATGTTTGGTGTTAATAAAGCACATGAAATGTAACTGTAAAGTATACGATGGCTAAAATTGGTCATCGAGGAATTTTCCATGAGACCCCATGGACTTGCCTGCAAGCTGTTTACTTCACAGCATGTTGAAATGCTGAATAATAATATGAAGGTAAAAGAATATTATGAACATATGCAGAAATTAATTACTTTAGAATATGACTTACAATAGTACCTTTTTATATGATTCTTAATTTCTTTATAGTAAATTTTCAGATATCTGTTTTATAATGAATAGACAGATATTGAGTCTAAAAATAGTGCATTAAACTGTATGTAAAAGTAGCATAAGTTACTAGATACAATTTCAGTTTCATTCATGTGGCTGGTAATTTTGCAACTTATTAAAAACATAAGATTGAAATAGGTTTAACCATTCTGTTGGTAAATATTAATTATTTCCTTATTCTGTCATTGTCAGTATTTGTCAAGTGGTGTTTTCATGGCGGGTGATACTCATGCGTCATCTGGTATAAGTGTAAATATTGCAGTTGTATTGTACGTACTTTCAGTATTTTGTTGTCTATGCTAAAGAAGGAACGCCACAACTGGGACATGAAATGCACTCAAAAGAACCCCAAAATTCCCCAGCAATGGTGGGCCAATAGAGGGCACCCTTTGAGAACTCCTATTTGGATTGTGTACTAATGAATTGATATAAAAATAAATAATATAGAGTCGGATCACATCTTTAAGTGTCATGATGCAGCCCTATACTGAAATAACAAAACCCCACTAAAAATCATGACAACATAACACCCAATTTCAAAAATCAATGAATATAAAATGACAGATAATAATATTTTATGAATTAAATATGAATAAATACATACTTATATAGTATATAGGTGTCTTAGTCTGATATGAATAATATTATAACAGAAGTGTCATTGACCCAAAGTTGTCCTCGATAAGATATAATAGTGAGTTGAATCTAGGATAATTCTACGTCTGGGATCATTAATAACTTCCTTTGCTACATATACTTGCACCCAATTTTACCATCTCGATCGCTGTGATATTTTAACGTGTATTGTAATGCATTGGCCTTGGTCTATATTGTAACAATTTCTTTGTTCGTATTTGGTATATTACTAATAAACATAAAAATCTTAGAAGGATCAAAAGTTGAATTGAGAAAAAAAAATCATTCATCATATTAATAGGTGTCAAGATAAGGAAGCTTAGCTCTCATAAATTATTTTTAGTACCGTATATTATGGCATTAGTGTGGTTTTTTATATTGAGAGTCATCTATATAATACTGTTGTTGTGTTCTTTCGTAAGTTGGTGACAAAGTAATTTGGTATAACTTCCCATCATTCTCTGGCAAAAGGGATCAAAATGAGAGATTGAGAGAAAAAAAATCATCTGTTTAAGAGGGTGTCAAAATGAGTAAGCTTTCTTTCTTATAAATTGTTATTAGATTTAGAGAAAACTATAAAAAAAATACTGTATGGGTATCAAAATATGGAAGCTTAGTTCTCATAAATTATTTTCACTTTATTTGTTGATTTTAAAACTCATCATTATATTGTTCATTTATGAAACATTCTAAAAACTTATATTTCAAATTAATAATAATTAATATTAATTTTTAATTTCTTTTTACATTTTATGAAATATTACAAAATAAATTTAATTAAATTTAGTTTTTCTGTTTTCATCTTTACAGAGTTTTTTGAGAAGTAGAGGAAGACAGACATAAGTGGCACTGTGGATATGCCTCACAGACAAAATGGGGACACCGAATTGATCAACGACATACGCCAAGCTAAACATGATATAAGCCTTGAACCAGAAGGAGCAGCCAGCATTCTTAGATCGGTGCAAGCCCAGGTACTATAAGCTCAGTGCCTCTATTCTTATAATTAAGTAATTAGTATTAATTATTATAGTAGTCATAATTGATCAATTTTACTGTATTGCTTCTTACTTGATAAACATAATGATAAAAAAAAAACCCATTAGTGACTATAACACAAATAATCACAAGTGTTTAATCTCTTCCTACAGGAATACAATTATACTTGTTTTTGTATGCTCTGATTACTTGGTGGTCTCATCCTCTTTTCCAAAAATATCAGATTAGAAACATATTTGTGGTCCGTGCTGATAGATGCTCCCCTCCCTTCCCCCTCCCCCCTTCCATAGATACGTTACTGGCTGTATCATGACTTGTATGATCCAAAAGAACCTCTTACAACACTCAGCCTTATTAAGTGAAGATAGTCCTTGTACTTGTTCATAATTTTATTTATTATGTTGATGTTGTTAGACCTTGATGGTTCCCGTGCGCAAAAAAAATGAAATGAGTCTTGAGTGTTAATGAAATTGCCCCAAGTAATAACATTCATAAAACCTTGTTCATAAATATTTTTTCTTTTGAGTAAAAAATATCAATTCTATAGAACCAAGCACGATAAAAACATTATTATCTAGGCTTCCATCAAAAATCAATCGGTGAGGAAGCCATAAATATTTTTCCTCCTGTATTATGAATAACCATTATCATGTAGGAAACAAAATATAGTATTTCCTCCGGTATTATGAATAGTTATTATCATGGAGATATAAAAATTAAGATCCACTACTATAGGATTTGTTTGTCACAGTATATGTGATAGCCAAAAAGGCTTAACGAGAGGATACTTTAAATTATTACTATGGAGTTTTTGAGATGTGCTACACAACTTGTTTGAAGGTTTTTTTTATTTTTATTTATTTTTTTTTGCAACTATCAGATTTAATTGTTAACCTTATTTTGGAGGAGTTTGAAAATATATTGCAAATTGAAATTGTTTAGAAATTGAACTTTTTTTCTTTACCTGTGTATGCTATAGAGTTGATTACAAAGGTGTTTATAGGTTTGTAATCACTAGTCCATGAACATCTAAAGAAAGCAAAAGGTATTTATACAGATCAACAAAAACATACATTAAACAAATAAACATTGATCTGAAAGTTGTAGATAAAAAGCTACTGACACTTCCATGCATAAAGTATTGACAGGACAAACTGGTATCACACTGTTGTAAAGCTAAAGTCTTGGATAATTCTAGGGTTAGAGAAGGAGGAAGTATTGAATTATATTACAAATAATTATAATGGTTGATTTTTACGAAAACTTTTTAAAAAAATGTAGTGGATTTTTTATTCTTTTAAAGGAAGCACAGTTTGAAGAACTTACCAGACAGTTAGAATTTGAGAAAAAGAGGGTTGCTGACCAATTGGAACAGAGTGCATATGTGGATGATTCCAGTTTAAGAAGCATTAGGTATGAAAAAGAGAGTTTGTTGTACACTATATAGTACATTGCTAAACCAAGGATGTAGAAATACATAGTAGCCCCATCAGGATACAAACCCAATGGCTACGGTAATTATCATTAACACTTCCAGCATATCCTAGAAGGTTGGCTAACATTCAGGGGGCCCTCCAAGGCTATGTTTACGCATACGGCGTAAGACTGGCGGAGCTTACGTCGGCGTATCTAATCCATGGATTAATGAGACGTTTTTTAGTCATGAGAAAAAATCCTGGGCTGTCACAGGATTTGAACCCAGACCCTGGGATTGGAAGGCAAGCATCTTAACCACCAAGCTACATCTCCGTTGCGATCATATTGTTCATATACTCCTGAATTTTTTCTTAATTCTATTCTTAATTGCAGTGTTCTGATTGGTTAGATTACATTATGCCCATTGCCATGATAATGTCATAACTCCAATTGGATTCATATGCTAATGAGCAGCGCCTGTTGGTTAAAAATGTTGTTAAATTTTAATCTCTTGAGTAAACCCATTATCAATGTATTCCTCATGGATTCTAACCTTTCCGTATTCTCATTATCTACATATTCTTCAAGGGTTTGGAATTATTGGTTTAAAAAAATTTTCTTTTATGTTAAAATTGTCATCCCAACATGCTGAACGTAGACATCCAATCACAGGATGAAAGGCCAAGGGTGTTTATATTTACAATATACCCAAATGGATTATAGTAATTTTATTATTATAATTCAAAATTTGAGACATTTCACTAATCAATTTTTTGTCTAACTTTCCATAATCAATATATCCCTTCATGATATGCATATTCCGTATGGATTTGAAAATCATCCAATATTTCCTCCTGCTTAATCAGGCAATCTTGAAATATTTTCTGTATACGGCAAATAAATATGCTAATAGTAGGATATGTGTAGAGCGCCTTCCACAGTTAAATCATCTCAAGGCGCTGACAGTATTTAGAGCATGAATAATAAACCTTCAAGCAAACAATACTTATCATAAATAACATTAAAGACAAAAAAAAAAAAAAATTTTTTTAATAAGTTATTAAAATAAATAAAATTTACAATCTGTGGCCAAAAATGGCATTAAACAATCTGCGAAAGGGAAGGAAAATGTGCTTTGCTGCAACAATCGTGCAGGTATTCCAGTGTCAGTGTGCTGGGCTCCAGTAGTAGTATAAAAGAGTAGTCAAAATATATCATGGAATATATTCATAGAATTCATTATTTATGGTTGATAAAGCTAGATAATCCCAGCTTGATGTACAGGAAATAGTTTTGCATACTGGATTAATCCGTGGCTACCAAACGCAACCACACAGTCTACATTTGGGTTAAAATGGTGATTTCATAGTTGTAATCGTACTGTTAATATCTTTTGTTGTTTGTAGTGAATCAAATGACTCATTTTCCTGGAGACGTTCTGGTCAGGACGAATCACATTTAGGCGACGAGACTGAGACCGAACTTAGTGCTCATTTACTGGATTCATGCTTGTAAGTACCCTCTAATATCTCTTATTAATTTTAGATTTGGTGTTTACGTTTAAACTTAGTGAGATCTTTATTTCTCTAAATATAAAGCTCACCTCGGGTAAGCCCACCCTCTAACTTTCGAGTAGTTGCTAAACAACATGCACTCCGCTTTTCATAGTTTCGGAAGCTTTGAATGGATTGTGTTTACCTCAAATAACAATTGTGAGCTGTCGTGACAAAATGAGTCTTGTGGTATAAAAAATGAAAAATGAGTTATTAATATATTTAGACAGATGACTATATAAGCTTTATTGTGGTCTTTCAATCATGTTCCTTGATTGAGTAAAACCGGAGTAAGATCATTTTAAAGTTCAGATGTCTAAAAATATACGTAAGAGAAAATCGCCTCTAAAGATAAACAACTGATTAATTTTGTGTTTGTTTTCCTATCAATTCTGGAAAATAGATTTAAAAAATGTGCCTCAAAAACATGATTACCTTAGGAAACTAAACTTAGAACTTTTGCTACTGTGAAATATACATATTAAACTAATCAGAAAAATTGAAACCCAATTTTTGTCAAAATATCACTTCAGATATATATTCTAGAATATATCAAATTGACCTGGCGTACTACAAGACTCCATTTGTCACGACAGCTCACAATTTTGAAAGTAAAATGAACCAAGTGTAAATATACTGGTATGAAATTTACCTGTGTTTGAAGATCCATATGAAAACTTTTGTTCTCAATACAATAAAATTTTACTCCCTGGAATTTTCGATTGAAACGTTAACCATCATCCGAAGGATGATCCAACAATATTAGATACTGCCAGTGACCTTTTGGACAATTTAAGAATTTATACCGGTGAAGGGTTGTGAAGACGACATCTACATTTGGGTTAACCATATTTAAACTGAGAAGGGGGCCTGTCTACGATCCACTCGTATAGTCACATGTCCAAAAGGTCACTGACCTTTTTTTTGATTGTTGGATCACAATGCTGATGAACGTTGAAGTTTCAATTGAAAATACTAATGAGTTCACAGTATACAGTATATTTTATTGCAATTCAGCATCAAAATGCTCCTCATGTCCCTTTGTTTGTTCCTCAAGAAAGATAATAAGCAAAGAAATCTGATAAAAATATAAGTTAATATAAGTTAAGAAGAATGATGATTAAAGGACAATAAATGTCTATGGATTGATATTCCGTGGGAAAAAGAAACTCGCATTTACTCTACAGTATTTTGAAGTTGTTCTTAGATTTTATGTCTACCGGTACTTGTCCACAGAATAAACCTTGCAATTTGTAGTCTTCCTGTTTAAGTATTCACACTTTAAATCCTTAGGTGCTAACTATCTATCTTGAATTGCTTCCTGTGGTTTTAAGAAATAACAAAAACCTTATTGATAAATATTGTCATATCCTGCAATTACATTCAAAGAAAATAAATTGTCCTTGTTTATTAAACGTGTGCATATTGCCGTGTCCAAATATCTGAGTCCATATAGCGTGACCGTCCTACTATTAAGGACACGCCCTTAAAACCACAAACCCTGATCCTATGCTTTTTTTTATTATTTATTTATTGAATAAAATTGTAAATTTATTTAAACAATATAGAAATAGAGTGGTAACTAATTGTAAGAATTGACATACCTGTTGTATTGTCATGTTTATAGCATACTAACCTAGGTACTTTAAGAACACACCTTTATTTAAAAACCACAAACCCTGATAATATGTGATCTCTGCATTCTTCTAATCAGAGTTTTCAATCAAGGGAGAAAAAAATATTCTGAATTAATTAAAACTATTCGTAAACTACCATGTAGTTGTAGCCAGTTGTTTGTGGGAATTGAATGCTGTGACATTTGACATATTGTAATATATACAGGAAAGCTGTTAATATTGAATGAATTTATTTAACCTACCTGCAGTGACCCATTCACATAGTTGCCAAGTAAACTTCTGCATACCTTCTCTGTGATAGAGTGTACTTAATGGCTTTTATGATGGCATCTCTTTATTTCTCATGGCATTAGTTTGAAATTAAAATTATTTTAAATAAAAATTTGATGATAGAATAAAAATACTTAGCTTGGAGAGATTTTTTTATTGAGTTCTTCAGCCAATCCTAGTGTGCAACAATCACATTTAAAGATGATTTTGATTTTTTTTTTTTGGTGGGAGGGGGGGAAATATTGTCCACAATGGGATTTGAACTCTAGACCTTCTGATTACTGTTTAAACATTTATTGATCTGGCCATGCGTCTTTTTATTTTATTTTATTTTATTTATTTATTTTCTATATTTTGGCCAGGTTCTATTTTTCTAAGTGGCTGTTTTTCCTTGCCCTCTTCTTATGATCTTTGAATTACAAATACAAGACTTAATTGATCATTAGAGTGAAATCATCAGTGATCAACATTTATATGCTAAGGAATATTAAGTGCTACATCCAAATGACTTGTTGAATGATTACATGCCTAGCTGCAAGTAAAATGAGTTTACTTTACAAGAGTATTTTCAACACCTTATAGCCAAGGGTGTGTTAACTAATCAAGAGTCCATTTAGAATGCCAGGTATCTGTCATTTTAATGTATTTAGTATCACAGGCAGAGAGTATTTGAAAGCATTTCAACAATTTATTGATTAAATCACTGTGATCAGATAAGTTGAAGGTGATTATAATAACAAAGATTTATAATAATAGTATGGCAGTTGTAATAAATGTCATATTAGTATGGCAATTTTTACTTTGTATGGTTTTGAAATATTGTTACCCCGGTCATTTGATCAGTCACCTGATATTCTATAATGTTGCAGAGCAGTAACTCAGCATGCTAGCATTTGAACCTATCAAGTACTCGCTTTACTCATTAGTAAAGAAAGACAATTATCAATGATAAGGCATGCTGAAGGGGTAAGGCTCAAGCCCCTCTGAGCCTACATCAGCTGCCAACCAGGGTTCAACCATCTGTAATGATGCCCAAGAATACAATGTGATAGCGTAAAGAACTGATATGACCTCGGTTATATTCTTCATCTTTACCACTATGTTCAGTATAAAATATTAGACATGCCTTAAAGAAAGCTTGAGTCCTGTAATTATAATAAAATAATAATGAATGTAAGAAGAACTAGCATTTTTATATATTACAATCGTATGTTTTATCTACTGATAATGTTAATTCATAAAAATTTTTGGCTGTACACTAGGCTGGATTTGTTGTATTGGTGTGGTACTTAAAATTGCGACAGTCATTTCCCTTGCATTATTTCCAAGAAATATGTCAATGGAAAACATTTTAGACATGAACTAAGTTATTCATTTCAACAAGACGACAAGAATACTAATGTCCTCTTCTTGTTTACTTCTGTAGGCGGGAATTAGAGGAGAAACAGCTTATGGATCCAAATGATCACATGACAAGCTTTCAGTATCCGAACCCTGGCATGGATAATTCTCACTTTTCTAATGGACAAGACTCAGATTATATGAGAGGTAAGTTCAGTAGTCAGAACACTTTAAAACATTTTATAAGAGCAGCACTAATGAATCAAGCTAGATTCGCGTTGGTTCAACAACCACATGTCACATTTTATGAATTACATAGTAATAATGAAACAGTTTTTTATTGGTTGCTTCAGATTTCCTCACATTTTAGGCGGTAGTAAGAGTCGTAATGAAACAGCTATGTTTTGAAGGGTTCAAAGGTGAATCTTGTTTTTTGGAAAACATTGTTGTAATGAAACAGCTATGTCTCTTAGTATTAGGTTTATAGCTACAACTGGAATGATTTTTATTATATGCAACATACAGTAATGTTATGCGTAGCTTGCTGACTTGCTTTTTATGCAGTGGCCAACTCCATCAAATTTGCATGGCATTTCACAAGCATCATTGAGATGTTATTGTAAACATGTCTCCCCTTTATAACAGCCAATCTAAAGGTGACATCTGAGGATGTTTCATTTCAACAACATGCATACAAGCATTGAAATGGCAAGTGAGGTGTAAGGGTACGTGATGATAGCCAGTAACAATTACCACATGAATGACATCTATATTTAAAGAAGTTATTGCCGTACATTGTTTTAGCGTTAATAGAAGTTATTTTTAGAATATTTTTCATAGTTATTTTTAATGTGTGTGTCAATACACCAAAAGTATAGCGCCCTCTATAATTGTTATCTCATAGTGCAAGAAATGATCGTAAAGAATTATAACTTGGCCATAACTAATATAGTCACCAATGCATTAATTTTCATTTCTTTCATATATCCAAAAAAAAAATAGTACACTCTCCAGTTACATGATGGAATGGTTCCCTACAAATTGTCCCTTTACGAGGTTTTTGAGAAAAAAAACCTGATGTACCAAAGGATTTTGACCTAGCAACCTGGAATTGGAGACTTAGCAAAGCTATAGCTCAACTCTTTGGTACATTTGTGCACTAAACTGTTACACTTTTTGACAATTTGTTTTGCAGATAATTACATGGCAATGAATGGAAGTGATGATTATGCGCGAGTACCTGAAGGGCAAATGGGATCTGTTCAGGTATGTTACACATTATAGGCCCCTATTACTATAGTTCCTCTGGTATAAGCCCACCCCCTGTGAACACAAAATTGGGCAGATTTTAGGGAGGGGTCTTATATCCGGGAAATCCTCCTTTTCAATCAAAAGACAATTTTCAGCACTGCATGCCTGATTCAAAGCCAATATTTGATTTTTTTTTTTTTTCTTGTTTTAGTCATCTAAACTACTCATTCAAATCTTAACCTGGGCCTTTTCCCGAAGAAAGGCTGGTATGTTAAATTGGGCATAAATTAGGGGAATGGCTTATGCTCGAGTAAGGCTTATACCATGCTTTTACTTTCAAAAAACAAATTTCTAAAATAGTATAAATAGTATAATTTGCACAAATTATACTTAAAGTTGAAAAAAAAATGGTAATATAATTTTACTTATTTTTTATTTTTTAAATTTATATTGTAATTTTTTTATAATTAACATTATATATACTCAAATATTATTTTTTTTTAGAGACACAATCGAGATTTTGATGGCCATCATGGCTCCACAGGTTCATTACCACGCAGCATAGATGATTACACAGCCTCACCAGCACACCACCCACACATGGACGACTACCATCACCCTTACGATAGAGAAGATTACGGCTCACGAGGGGACTATGAACCCCATCGCGACTATGAGCCCCAGCCAGACTACCGCAACCCACCTCCTGATGGCTACATTGATGATCGATATGGCCGCCATTCACCAGACTACGTCTCTGGCTCTCAGTTACAACATCCTGGTTATTCGTACAATGGACCACCATCGCCAGTTGGTAGCGATCGGTTCCGACAGCCGCCAGGAAGATACGGTGACGATGGATATATGCCTGAAGAACAGTACGGCAGACCAGGGGAAGGATACCGAGCACCATCGCCCCAAAATAGTGAGCGATACAATGAACGGTATGTTGGTACTCCTCCGGGAAGTTACAGCCATGCTCCACAATTTGACGATCAATACCGAGATTCTCCAACTCTTCCTCGTAATGGCAATTATCGTAAGTACTCATTTTAATATATTTTTACACTTCCTTAAAAAATAAATCGACTAAATATATAGGATTAATATTTACCACAATTATGTTTTTCCTTGGCTTTCATTACTATTTGTAGAGATTAAATTTTTAATTATTTGCATGATTGGTTTTTGTCTGACTTCTCAAAAGTGTATTTATATCAAAATACTGTTGTTAATCCATAATAATAGTGAACTGATTTTATCTCCTTGACCAAGTTGCTTGCTTTAATTAAGTAGACTTATTCCAAATTAGTACCTTGATTGGAAATGAATAACCAATAGTTTTGAATGAAATGTTACTTCAGCATTGTTCACCCAAGTCTAAAGGCCTGTTTATACTTCAACGATAACGATAATGATAAAAAGCTAGAAAGCAATTGTTCATATAGAAATTAAAAGAAACTAGAGAAGTTTTTACACTATGCGATAACAACATATTTTGACAAATCAAATCAGATGACGTCATAATCGTCAAAAACATTAAAATCATAGTATTTTCCATGATTATGCCGTCATCTGATTTGATTTGTTAAAATATTTTGTTATCGTATACGCGATAAATCGTTCTGGAGTAAAAACTTCTCTTATTTCTTTTGCTTTCTATATCAACAATCGCTTTTTAATCGTTATCGTTATTGTTGAAGTATAAACAGGCCTTCATACCCTATTCAGACTACACTCCATTGCGATCGTTTGTGATGTAGTCAGTGGACATCCAATTGCAATGTAATGCTAGTCTGAATAGGGTATAAGAGAAAAGTATCAAACCAAGTAATTTCACTCCTAATTTAAAATTGAATCTATATTAAATCACTTTTGAGGTTGTCAACATTTATTTTATGTGACTGTTGTTTTCCTTCTCCCTTTAACACTGCATGCATCCTATGATTTGTGAAGGACATTATGATACCTATGGTCCTTATCCCGCCCCACATTCTGCCGCCGTTGACCAAATATGGGACATGTTACCGGATGAGGACCCCTATCAGAGTGAGCTTTGATTTCTTGCAATTGCTACTTGGTTTGTTTTTGTTGTCCAGACTGCACAGTTGATAGAATGTGTGGTAACATTATCAACAAGGATTTTTGATTGATGTTTTGTAATAACTTTAATTTTTTTTTTTAATAACTTTAATTGAATTCTAACTTATTTTAATTCATTTTAATCAATATATCATGCCACATAATGCATAATATTAAATATATCACATTAGGATTGATTTTACTATTTTCGTTTTCGTTATTTTCGATAATTTTGATATTCCATTTACTTCAATATATTCTCAACAACACATTTGTTTTTTTCTGAATTGTCTGTGCAAGCCAGCTTTTATTAATGTATTCAATAGATTTAATTAATATCTGCTGTATTTTCATGTTAACCTGATCATGAGTTCCATGTTGCTTATTTTAACCTTTTAAGCCAATACGTTCTTTAAACCTTCCTAATACCTGCTATACATTTTTTTTGTTTGATTTAATGTGTTTAATCATCCTTCCATCATATATAATATTCATTCAGCTTTTGTTTTGTTTTTGTCCTTTCGTAAACATCATTATTAAACTGATTATAATACTAATATTGTTGTTGAAATTACTATAAAAAAAAGAAACTTGCATTTGCCAGTTTTGGTGACTATCAGAGAACTTTTATTATCTATCAGAAGACTAGATGAAATGCTTCTTAATTCTAATATTATTTGAAGAAATATACATTAATTTTCGATTTCTTGGATTGTTTTTTTTTTTAAATCTATTTGTTTCACTTTTGGTATTATTGAGCTATATCAATCAATCAATCAATCAATCAATCTCTTTCCATTGTGAATAAAAACAACATTTTTTTTAGATGGAGGAAATACAACAAAGGCAAGGCCTGACAATGTGTTTATTAAAATTGAAAAATTATATATTATTTATTTATGTATTTAAGTGAGTTTTTCACTTTCAATTTTAAAATTAGAACAGGAAATTATTATCATAGTCATAAACTCAGGATTATCTAGATTCATTCAGAAATGGAGAAAAAAATTGCAATTTTCTAGACTTCCAATTCATTGAAGATACAATTACAAATATTAATAAATTTAATGTAAAAATATTATATTACCTATGTATAAAATAATGAGGTTAGGCCATTTTTTCTTTAGTTAAATGTGTACCTCACAATTTTTTTTGTGCCAGACAGCCTAGAGGTATATTGCCTGATAGCAAACATTGATGTTATGTAGAGAGCATGTGTAAAAATATTATTGCCTATGTAAAAAAATATGGTTAAGCCATGTTTTCATTAGTTAAATGCATACCTCACAATTGTGCCAGACAGCCTGCAGCTATGCTACCTGATAATAAACATTGATGTTATGTAGTGGGATACAAGTGGTCAGTAGGCCTACCTTATTATCTTGCAGTTCATTGTTCTAAATATGGTTTACAAAATGGACAATTATATATTATAATTTAGATGTACAGTACTTTATTTCAAATACAGATATAATAGTTATTTGAATGGCACAATATCGAGGATATAAATGTAATAATATTTAATTTATTTATAATGACTATATCCATTTTCAACAATTTTTTAATAATTTTAATAGAAATAATTTAATTAAAAATTTAAATTATGACCATTAATTTAAATTTAAATATAAACTGAAAGTGGTAATATATGAAATAGATAAAGATATTTAATATATAATGTATGTTGCATTTTAAACAAATAAAAATAAAATTTATTCATATTTGTATTTTAGGCCCCATAAAAAAACGTATTAGTTTATCACCCTACCAAAGAATAAAAACTGATGAGGGAGGGAAGTTTTTTTTTTTTGCTAACCCCGCCCCCATTTTACCAACGTTCACAAGTAAATCAATGGTTAGGGACACATCTATAAAAAGTCATAAGAGTGGAATAAAATTTATATTTAATAAAGATGTTTTTGTTGTACCAGTTTTGTAACATATTTGCAAGAAACCATGACATTTTAAAGTGAAAAAAGATGGAAAAAGGACCATTTGAAATAAAAATATATGTTGATTGAAAAAAAAACAAAAAAAAAAATGATTTTCCCCAAAAGTGATGAGGGAGCGGGAGATAAACTAATAATTTTTTTTATGGGGCCTTATTGGGCCATTGTAGCAATGTCAACTATTAAACTATTAAATTAGAGCAAATTGTGTCATTTTTCATATTTTTTATTTTAAAAAGGAAAGTGGTTGTTTACATGCCACTGTAGCATGGGTAATTCCAGCAAATGTTGTTTGTGTTGTGCTACGCTTTATGCACGCTCACCTACAGTGAGCTTTTCCATCCAAAGCCTGCTTCAGCATGTACTTCTCACTGTAGGCTTACTTCATGACCTGTCATAAGCCTGGTAGTCAGTTTCCCCGGGAACGACAGAAATTTGAGTGTGTTAAGCACAGCAGTTTGTAGTACATTGCATTTGAATTGACAACAGGGGGTGCTTGTTAATGAGTCAGGCCGTCGTTAAAAGATCAGGTGCCACTGTCAGTATCTTGCACCGAAGTCAACACAACTAGCAAATATTGCGTGGGTTTGTGCTTGAACGCTATTCTCGTGAGTCTTCTCTAGTAGTAGGTGTGTATAGATTTTATATTTATGTTGGTGGTTTCAAGTAGATAATGTTAAGACTGTGTACATTATCTGTGGTTAGTTTTAATGTTTGCTTTGAGTCTGGGTTGGTTTACAAATGATGCTGCTTCTAAAAATGGACAGATTATTTGGAACCATTCCTTAGCATTATTTACATAGCTTATATTAGATGCCCAGCCTGTCACATGAATTTTAAAGGTCAAAGTTTATAGTAAAATGTGTGTATGAATTACATGGGGAGAAATTTCTTTAAAAATTATGATTAATTACATAAACGTGGCCTAATGCCAAATACAGTATTACCAATACATTCTTTATCATCTATTTGAATATTTCATTTGAAATAAATAAAAAATATTGATACATTCAGTAAAATTATTTTGTAATTTTACTTTAGAGAAATTTGAAAAAGCAATGGACAGTTTGAAAGGTAACTTGGTGCCAAAATATTTATATGGTTATTGTATAATTGTTCGCTTAGTGATTGTAATTTTTATGAGCTTATTTTATTTGTACATGCCCTACTTGTAAACTACAGTAAGCGAGTACAGTGGTATGGATATTTTATGCTGTTTACACCACCCTGGCTAAGTTGGGGTCGGGGCTTAGCGAAAAGGTCCATTTCCCGCTGTTTTTACCGTGTAAGCTATATCATAGGCCGTATTCGACTAGTCGTTCTTCGTTAAACCATGCCCACCTGCGCAGTGGTAAAATCCTACTTAACAAAGACGACCAGTCGAATAGAAAAATGGTAAATACTCGGCAAAACAAAATGGTTGCATAGTTACCGTGATACACGCTGCGTAATCAAGGCTGCTTCGGATTGTAGCAGTATGGGTTTTTAGTAAAAAATGTTTTCATCCTGTTTTTTAATTCTGTTAATTATTTTTTAACTTCAATGAGGGTAAATATTATAATTTTTATTTTCTGAAATTTAATCTAAATTATATTAACGCAAATGTTGTTGCTAAACTGACCAATCGGCCATATTTTTTTTGGTCACATGCATAACTTAACGCTGATTAACGTATTCTGGTTATGTTCATTTTCGTTGTCAATGAAGTCTATTTTACGAACCAGTCAAATGAAAATAATACTCAACAAAAATTTGTACTCAACGAAATGAACCAGTCGAATAAGCCCATAGATTTTAAATAGAAGTAATTAATTTTGTATACATATTTGCCACAGTGCTCCATGAACATACTTCTACTGTAGGATTTGCGCTTTTTAATCGCTTTTTAAAAGTTTAATATGTGGAAAATATATTTGGTATGAAGAATATGGATACAATTTAGTTTACCAACTACCAGGTCACTCAGTGAATAGTTTACCATCTATTGTATATATTCTATCCAACCTATGTAATAACTGTTCATCATCCACTTAACTTTGGAAATTAAGAATTGTTGTAAATTTGAAATTTTAATAGTAGGTTTAGAGTACTTTACCATATTAGAGAGTTAGACAACAAAATCTTGTGTAGGGTCATAATGGCATGTCGTATGGATTTTCTTGATTTGTGTTTCCTTTTCCTCTTCTGTTTAATTGTGTGTTTTCTTTATATATCTGTTTTGATAACTCTTTTGCGTGTGTATAGCATTGTGTTTATAGCTTTTAAAGTAAATAAAAACACAATAAGGACCCCAACTAGGGGACTGATTGTACTTTCAAAAACACAACCTAGGCATAGCTGTACCATTGGATTGATAAGGAATTAAAGATTTTAAGGTGTGTTTTGCTCTGTGTAAAGTCATCTATATTATTACTGTTTTTAATTATGCTGTATGCACACCAAGTTTAGAGGAATTTTTGTGTTTGTAAGTAGTATTTTGAATGTGCTGTATGTAGTTAACTTCTGAAGACTGGCTGTGTTGTAAGCTATATTTTAGTAGTTAGCTATATGGAGCCCAAGTTGAAAAAAATTGCAGTGCTGTATGTATGGTGTTCAAGATATTTCAAGTTTGTAAAGTGGCATACTGTAGTAAACAATAGCGCCATACAGACATCAAATCTAAGGAATTTTTTTGCTGTAAGCTGAGTTTTAATCATTGTGCGGTATAGTGATCAAAATTTGTTGGAGTGATAATAACCCTATCCACGATTGTTTGTAGAAGTTTACACTTTGTTCACTGATTGAATAGTAGGGATGGTCATAGGTTGGGTTTGTATGTGCAACTGTCCTTGTTTAAATACTGCTATCTTTACTAACAATACAAGTTTCATTCTTCTCTAACCACTCCGTTAATAGTGTGACCTCAAATTTGTGGATTATCCGAACAGGATCTTCTTTTTTTTTACATTTTTCTCAAAGTAGCTGATATTTTTTGGATCCCTAGTGTTTTGGTTTTGATGTGAGAAGGAATGTACTTACTTTTAGGCACTTTGGAATATAGGAAAATTGGACCTTTGAGGTTACTGTAAAGTATGTGTAAATGTATGTATGTCAATCTATAGGAGCGGCATCCATCTTACTACTAAGTAAAGCATCAAATTGTGTATGTACCATCTAACATTTCTTAGATTGTTAATTATGTTTTGTTTAATATGTTAAACCAATGAGAATCTATTTTCTTTATGGTTAAAACAATGTACTAGTAGATTTTATAAATGCTTTCACCTATTTGTGAACCCAGTCATAAGATTACAGTTGTTAATTATGTTGATGGCTTCCAAATGTGAGATATTTTTCGGCTGTCAGTTTAACATTCGAACTTTGACCATGACCTACACAATGATTATTGCCATCACATTTCACATTTGGCAGAGGTTTTCGTATTTACCCTCTATGATTTCATCCTTTGCATTTTAATTACTCTAAACATATAGTATAGTTTTCTATTTATAATATATTTTGATTTGGCAAATGAAATATTGAAATTATTTTATTATCTTAAGCTTTTAATCAAATATTATGATACTAGCCTATGGTTGATTATGTCTATATTCTGTATTCTTTGATTGAGTATAAGTTATAACAATAAGTAATAAAATTGTTTTATTATATTGTAGGTGGAGCCTACGACCCAGACACCATGGATTCAGCCCCTTTAGCAAGTATGGACCCGAGAGACAGTCAAGACAACCTGGTCTTCCCACATTCAGAGAAAGGTAAATATAATGCATGTTTATGGTACCTAAGCATGTGCCAGGTTCCAAAGTCCATTTTTAATTTTTTGATTTGTACATTGTATACAATTACCGTACAGGATGTCTCGCTACCTCTAAGAAAAAATTGTACTTTGTAAGTGAAAAACTGAAAAAATAATTACTGCTTGTCTTTTTTGAACAATATGATAAAATTATACTCTGATGTTAAATATATTTTCCCAATTTTATTTTAATCACAATGTCTTACTGTTTTTATGTATATTTAACAACTATTTTACTCTTCAGTCAGGAAAATTATAGCAATTTTATTTTCTTATATTTTAGTGTCTAGATTTAAATCCATATTTAATGAATGACATTAGTTAATAATGTATGTAAACCGATGAATTATCAAAAGCATTAATTAGAAATTAAATTTTAGAATTGTTTTTAGAAGCTAAAACAAAAACAGTAAAGCAGGCAGGCGAGCCAAAGGTGAGCTCAGATATAGCACCAGCAAAGGATCAGTCTACAGGTATTTTGCGTAGACGCACCCAATGTTTGTTGTGCTTTATGTGGTGTGCCAACATTTTGTGCTTCAATTCCTTTTTGGTTAATTTGTGATAATAATATTACAGTCGTCAGGCCATTGATTTCGTCATTCATATAAATAATAGAAACCACATGTGTAATTGGCTTTCTAACAATAAATCTTGCTATGAAATGTATATAATATAATAATAGGTAATGGCAAGTTAATTACAGCTTGTAATAAATGTAGCAAATTGCCTGTATGCTACAGTTTGTGAGATGAAAATGTAGCAAGATGGATATGGTATATCATCTAGTGTCTGTGGTTGCTTACTGTTTTAAACCCATGATATAGAGCATCATGCAGAGATTCAATCCCAAAAGTGACATCACTCACTGTAGGATGAGAATGAAAATAAAATTTTAAAAACTATTAAAATTGTAATAAAATGACAAAAATTTATATTTAAGATGAGAGTAGCAATAATAAACTGAAATTGATACATTAAAATAAAAGGGTCAGTTCAACAATTTATGTTAGATTTAGCTTAACTGTCTAACAATCTAATACTCTTTGACAGTTTACCGACACAGGAACCCAGCGGCAAATGGGCCGGCCGTGTTTTGAATAACTCATAAAGCAATTTCAAGAATATTATCCGCTACACCGGCTTATAATGCTGAATAGATGAAGCTATGTGGTACTATATTACTGAAATATTAATACTCAGTATAGAAGGGCCTAGATCTGAATTCAGCCAACCAATATTACTATTCATTTATTTGTGAATCAAGGCCATTGGTAATGACTCCATTGGAAAATGAGGCATTCAGTCCATTATTTGATTTCAAATAGTTTTCATTTCATAGAATATGACACATAATTTTTCTGGAAATGTATCATTGATTATAACATATCAAGGTTAATTATAGAAAAAAAAAACTAAGTTAACAATTTCATGTTTTGCAATTTTTTATTTTTTTTCCATAATAGGTATTTTGCTGGATTTTTTATAATACTTTCTGCTTTGTATTTGGCTTCGGTTTTTATTATTATATATTGGGTATTTCCTGCTAGTAGTAGTATTATTTGATGTGGAACAACAAAACCATAAAAAGATCTAATCTTGGCGTAAACAGTGAACAATAATTTTTAATTTAAAGTGCAGTGGAACCTTTAAGATTATGAAGATTGTTGATTTGTGCTTTATGTATTAAGGGCATGACATTACTAAATGCCAAATGAGTTGTGAAGAGGTTTAATTCCAGGTATTGAGTTTTGAAGAGGTTTAATTCCATCTATGGAAGCAAGCCACACAGTGCAACAGGAAGATTTTAATATCGAAGGGTTTAGGTTCAAGCACAAGAATGGTCCTCTAGCAAGGTGCTTTGCTTTTCCTTTGTTTCTCCCCACCAATAATTAAAATGAATACCTAGTAACTATGCTATGCTAATGATAATATATTTCGGTTGTCAGATCAGTCAGTATATTATAGAAGAAAATTTAAAATGGACTTTGAAAGAGATTATTGATGTGCTATGTCTACTTATAAGGATTAGTAGATTGGTATAGGATATTAAGTAAATTCCAGATTCATGCACAAGACAGATTGATGGAGGCCAAAATGGTTAAAAATTAGTCTATGACTGTTGGATGCGAGTGATGATAAGGAACGTTACAGGTATTGAAATTAGCACAGTTCAATGATGTCATAGTTAGTATGCAATGTTTGTTATGAAAATGGCTTTGAAACCTAATATTGTTGTAATGGTAATATAATAATTATAATATATGGTAATAGGATATTTACAAGACTAGATTTATGAAATTGTGTTGTGACATTTTACAGCATTTATTTGTCCTAATTATGTCAGTCCAATATGTTAAAGTTCTCCTATCTCCATGGTTAAAGATTTTATGATACTGTACATGTGGAAATATTGTATTTATTGGCAGTTCCTTGTTTTCATGACTAAAGTCCATCTCGATGGATATAAGATGATTATACGGATTCAATATTACCTTTATAGGGATAGGATATTGCACGAATTTTGTAGCATTTTATGAATCAATTTTATCAGAAGAGATTATTCTCTTTAAATTCCTTATGAACCCTGTCTTTTTTCAGCATATTTTGAAAAAATGTATTTATTTACAAGAGGTAAGACTATAAATTTGATTGAATTTGGTGCAAGATTCATCATTAAAGTCTTCCTGATTCTTAATGCATTTGAAAGTTAATCTATGGACAACTTCTTGCTCTTTTATTATAATATGCATTTACAGTATTTGTTGCATTTATAATCTTTGATTCCAATATATTAATATCAGCTTTGTGTATTGGATGTGCCAATAAGTAAGATAGTTTGTTTAGAGTTTAATCAATTTTTTTTTCATGTATGTATTATTGTTTGTGACAATATATTGCTTTCAATGTGGTTCTTTTTTTCTCCAACTACTTGAAATTATTATTTGTCTGAGTAATTATCCCAATGATGCTATTTTCTATTATTTTAAAAATTTGTTTCAGGTGGGAGTTTCCTTTACTTTTTATTTTTGGTATGTTTATCTTCCCTCAAATGAGACTTTTAAATCAAAATTGTTAATTGAGAGTGCAATTCAGTTATTAATTTCCATTGTTAGCCACAATAAATTTCTTTTCAATTTATCCATATCAAGGTTTAATTCCTGTTATAGAATTGTTATTAATGTTGTTATTAACATATAAAATCTATTGTGGACTGTATTACCTATAATTGTTTCATATATAACACCATAATATTTTAAAATATACTTCTATTTTTATAGTGCAGTTTTCTGTTGCTTTTTAAAATTGTAAAAAATTCATATAAAATTGATTTATAAAAAGACCTAGACAGATAGGGTGCTCATTCTTTTGTTCCTATGTGCTTTACTTTTTTCAAAACTCTAAGTGTCGGAGAAAGAAAGAAATGCTCAAAAATATACATTAAATTTTATGACCATCCAATATGCATTGCGTGTAGTAAAAGTACAATTACATGTATAAATGTATATTATTTGTTTTTGATGCTTGTATTTCATGTTTTTTATCGAGGTATATGCTTCAATATTACAAGTAGATGTCTTTTAATTTTTAACATCATTTTCATTCTGTAAAATTTTATATTATGATTACCTATAAATTAGCATACTTAGTTCATCCAACATCATTTATGTTGTTTTATTCTGGTTTTTATTTTTTAAGATATTTTTTGCCTGGTATTTTTCTTCTTTTTCATAAAGTTGGTTATATATTAGCTTGACTTCTTTTTTTTTTATCTTGATGCGAATCACATACTTATTCCCTTGATAATATGAATATTAAGTCTCTTTGATAACCGTCATAAAAAAACAAACCTCTCTAGTTGATTTATTTTTACCGTGAGCACTGTCAGTTTCTGTTTTCTGTTCAATTGAGATTAGAATATAAACAAATCTATACTCTAATGCGTTTGTAAGTCTTAAGAATAAAAATCACAACAGTCTCTTAAATGGTGTTGAAGACACGTACCGTCAGAATCCCTAAAAGGCGATTAATACTGAAAATTAATATGATACGTTAGTCCATAAAGAATATTTCAGACCCAATTGATATGAGCATCTCAATTGGTCAAAATAAGAACCAATGCATCTCCTTGCTAAATTTGACCAATGGAGTAGCTTGTTTCTCAGTGTATGGCAACAACTGTTCGATATGCTTCTCTTTTGTTGCTGTATCTATATAAGGGTTACAATTCAATGTCATTGTTAACTTACAATGTATCTAATGTTTCAATGTAAATCTTTTGTTCACCAGGTCTGCGGGCGCCAGATTTACAAGAAGTCATTGAATATCTGGGTCATTCTAATCAAGCCATCGTAGCCAACGCTGCAGCTTATCTACAGCATCTTACATATGGAGACGATGGCCTCAAGAACAAAACAAGGTACATTCAATAATTATGTAGTGAATACTAATGATAAATGATTGTTGTATGGGGATCCAGGAATAGCACCATTGAGAGACATTCTGTTGATCTGACATGTGGCTTGTCAAAGGTTAAATGATTTTTATGTTAAAAAAAGTTTACTTAAATCACAATTTTAGAATTATTGCATTATTTATCGTTTAAATCAACCTGTGTTGTTTGTTGTTTAGATCAACCTGTTAAAATTGTTCTTTGATTCATGTTTCATATTCTGTCCCCAAATCCCTCTTGAAACATTTTCCCTTCCTTTTCCCCAGCTTTATATCTTCTTATGTACATAATATTATTGAATTTAGTGGTTCTCCATTTAGTTTCATAAATAAGTCTTTTCATCTTTTTTAGGGGTTTGGGTGGAATTCCAGCCCTCGTCAATCTTATCACACATGACAACCAAGAAATCAGTAGAAGTGTATGTGGTGCTCTCAGAAACATCTCGTACGGCAAAGCAAACAAAGATAACAAAATAGCTATCAAGAATGCTAATGGGATACCCAACCTGGTTCGCCAAATGAGAAACACAGAGGATCCAGAGGTTTGTTGTGACCAATCATTACCCTCCTTAATATGCTGGTTAGGCAGTGTGTGGTATTTTATATAAGCATAGAAAATGTGTCTATGCTGTGTTTTTTTATCATTGGTTACTTATTAAATCTCATCCTCCCATTTTAGAGTTCGAGGGAAGGACGTCAGGCTTACAGACTTAACCACATACAATTCAATTCTCATGGTGTATTTTATTCAAACATTCAAATATAAACAATACAAAAGTAAAAAAGGAATTGCTAAATATAACATACATACATACATTATTTTCCTAGTCATCATTTTTTCATTTCACTTTCATTCCTACTTCCTCTTTCTCTTGCTTAATATTGTTTGACATTAACAGCCAAAGATGGTTCATCAAAGTTGATGTTCATGTTGTAATGGCTAAATGATGTCATTATCTTGTGATAATTCACATGTTCAGACTCATGTGAGCTGTAATTGCTTGTTGTTATAAGCATTATTTATGATGTTTATCTTCTAGATTCTGGAAATGGTGACAGGAACATTATGGAACTTGTCGTCTACAGATGTAAGTCGTCTTTTTCAAGCAGAGTTGATGAAGCTGTAGCTTGGTGGTTAACATGTTTTCCTTCAGGGTCTAGGTTTTAATCCTGTGTTACAAGACTGTGTTATAAGCCCACCATGAGTACAAACATACCCTAAACTAATGAAGAAATTTTCATGAATAATTATTCATGCCTGTGTAATCCACACTATGTATGCCTCAAATATCAATTCTTAAAGTAAAATGAACTAAGCATGAAATGAATACATTCTAATTTAGCATCTAAATACTAACTAGTTCTTCTATCACTTGACTAACTCGACCTTTTTGTAAGGCCTTTGGATCGCTGTGAGGCTTTCTAAAGGCTAGACCTATGTAGCATTTTGAATTGATTCTTTTTAAATTATCCATATATGACATTTATGGATACACAACCTCATTTCTACAATTGAAATAGGTCTTGAAGAAGCCGATAATTGATGACGGATTAACTGTTCTTACTAAACGTATCGTAATACCGCACTCTGGCTGGAAAGGTAATGTGAGAGATGTTCGGAGTATGGATGCTCAGTGGAGTACAATATTCAAAAACACATCTGGATGCTTGAGGTACGTATCAAGTTCAGTAACAACATTCTACAGATTGACACTGTAATAAAATATTTTTTAAAATTTATTTATTTTATATAATTTATTAATACCATATTTGAAGGCACTACAACTTTTTGGTTTATTTTATAAAATACAAGATATTCATTGTGCCAATTTTCTGTTTATATAACTATAATATATGCTTTAGTAGGGATGTAGTTTGTTGGGAGTAGGGGAGCACTCAGCCTTTGAGTGTTCCACCCAATCTGAATCCAATTTCATGGCCATCCACCCACCTTTATTGACCCTCTTGCCCATCCTTCTGTCCACTCTTATCATATAGAGTTGACCAGTGTTATCACCCACCCACTCTTAAAATATCTACCACTCACCCCTAGTTTTCTATAGCTTCAACCCTGCTATAGTTAATATACTTCATGTGTTATATTTTATGCTTTTTTATAAAATGTGCTACATATTGTCCTGTATCTTTTTTTGCTATATTTATGCTATCGCATGAGGTGTTATATTTCACACTATGCTATATAAACGTGCTATAATTATACTATATATCATTAGGTTTTATGCCAGTTTAATTAGCTCATTCTTTTAAGTTCAAATGACAGTTAAGTGCTATTATGATGAATTAACTTAACACATTTCAGATAACGCTTTCTCAACAAGTTATGAATAAAATTATTATTGAAAAATCCGTAAATTATTTAAATAATGATATTATTGGTGTTGTATAATTTTCTACGGGCTTTATTCATTTATTTTCTCACTTCAGGAACGTAAGTTCGGCAGATACTGACACAAGGAAAAAGATGAGAGAATGCGAGGGATTTGTGGACTCTTTCTATTACGTCTTGTTAGTAGCAACTCAAAGTAACGAGATGGATAATAAGGTAAATAAATATTCTTATTAATATTGATAATACTAATTAAAATAATCATTTGGTAAAGTCATGATTTATAATAACATCGCTGTTATTAATATGCTAATTAAGATTATTGATCAGTTAAAATGAATTTATTGATATTACCATATATGGTATGTGTAATGTAGGAGTTGGTAATCATTACCCTTTGAGGATGGTTTCTTAGAAGCAAGAAAATATAATAAACTGATGAGGTTTTAAATATTAAAATAATATTTGAATAAATTTGAAATGTTAGATTGTTGTATAAATAATCAAACTATAAGTAATTTTACAAAGTATTTTGATATTTTTTTATAGTTTTAAATGTATTTTTTCGATTTTGAAATAAATTGAATTGAATTAAATAATAATAATTATTATTATTTATTGCTGTTGTTAGTGTGGTTGTTTTGTTTGTTAGTGGTTTTTTTAGTATTGATGTTTGTGTAAGTGGTATAATTTTTTTTTTTGGAAAACGATCGTGTTAATTTTTTTTTTCATCCAGGAATGCATTAAGTGAAACATGCAACATTGTCAAACATAAAATGATAATTCCATCAAGGTTTGCACCTGAAAGTGCTTACCACTGGCAACATTCAAAATGTTGTATCATTAATCATTGTAGACAGTGCAGCAGAAAAGCATGTAGAATTCACAAAATAATTAAATAGAAACTGACAAGACTAATTTAATTATAGGGTAAAAAATCCCAAAAACATATAGACCTACCCAGCATGTTTTTACCTTTTTTTTGCATTATTTACTAAGGAAAACCCCTCAAAAAACAAATGTCATAGTCTATGCCACAAGATCGATTGTCAATATTAAATGCTTATCTACATGTTTGGAATATTTAACAATTTTAACAGGACATGTGACTAGATATAAAACACTATCTCTCAAGTAATAAAGTATTGAAATGTAAGGATGAAATTTTAGCTGACACTATACATTGTACAATGTATATATCAGCTATGGCATATGCTTGTCTTTCTCCCATTAGCTATAAAAACCTTTATATAAGAAACATATTTAGTGTTTACAGCAATTAGTGGTAAAACATCAGTACTGCAGGGATTTGTAGCGATGGCGGTGCGGCACGCATGCTGAAGCATTTAAGACAATTCTTACATACATTGGCTTTTTAGCGCAGGTCATTTACCTGCGCCAATACAGTACTTAATAAGCAACAACATTTTGTACACAATTTCATCTTTTAACTCCCAACATTGCCATTATGTTTTCTATGGTAGCCAAGATGTTTTTTTTTTTTTAAATGTTGTGAAAGCTATGTGTTAGTAACAATCATCAAGGACATGGTATAGACAATATGCTATATTAGTTATCAAGCTGGTGAAGATTATCTTTCTACTTGCAAAAAATTAGTAAAAAAAAAACATGACAATTAAAATTCAATTATGAAAAACAAAGTAATTTATGTACCAAATTTTTTATCAAATATTTAAGTGTTTCAATTATGTTGTTCAGAATAATATTGCTTGAATTAAATTACAACTATAATTACAATATAATTAATATTATTAATTTATCATTAATTCCTTGTGTCTCTACTTCAGGTTGTTGAAAATGCAGCTTGTATCCTACGGAATCTATCCTTTAGGATAGCGTACGAGGCCAACCATCCGGATGCCCTTCCCGACAAAACACTGAAGAAAGACGGAACAATGAAGAAACCAGCTCCTAAAGATGGTACGTATTAGAAGACAGCATTTAAAAAAAAAAATTAGTAATAGTGAAATTGTTTTTTGGTGCAGTATATCGTCATAAAATATTATTTTGTACGTAGTTCTCAAGTATAAAAGGATAACTTTTGATAAATGACATGTTTCATCAGGTAATTGTGCTTTGCCTCTACGGGTCAAAAGTATAGCAAATAAAAAATTCTTTTTATATTTCTATATTCCACAAAGCTTCAAGGATTGCCATTTTTTAAAGAAAAAATGAAGCTACAAATTTGTTTGATTATCCAAATGTAAAACACATTTTATTGTGCAAGATCTTCTAGGAATGAATTACTCTTGCATCTGCCCATTCAAAGAAAGAATTATTGTCATAAATTTTATGTCGTACAAAATGGATTTTTATGGACATATAAGTGTATTGTATTACATTTTTTATTGTATTAAATATGAGGAAGCATTAATACATAAAAGAAAGGCAAGAGAGAATAATATCCGCCCACATCCTGCAAAACTAATTCTTCATTGATATAAATCACAAAAAAAGAAAAATAAATGTTCTGCAGTCTGTTTCAATCAATTATACTTTATAAAGTGCCAGTGCTTGAAGGTTACATGATTTGCTATATAAGTTTATAAACATATTTAATGATATATTGTTTTAAAAGGATGAAAAGAGTTATCAACTTATAATTTTTTGCAGAGTTACAGACTTTACTAAAATCTTACCAAGAGTCTATGCTATTATATAGGAATAGTATTATTTATACATAAATACATACATTATACATTTATACATTTATGTATTGGCGATAAAAATATTTTATATCCTAATTTTAAATTGAAAGTAAGTAACATTTTATATATTCAGTGTTCATATTGAATACATTGAATATATTAAAATATTAAATATTAGCTTATTACAAATAATATTTTTACATTTAATAACTGTTTCATCTTCTGTAGAAGTAATATTTTCTGTCTTGTTTCTTTCCTTTAATTTCTAGCCAAGAAAGCTGGTTGCTTTCCATCTACCAAGAAAAACTCAAAAGATGGAGGAAAAACAGGAACATTAACTAAATCTGGTACACTCAGGTGAGACATTAAGTAATTAGACTGCTCAAGTATTTGTTGTCAAATTGAATGTAATATCTAAGAGCTTTCTTCCGAATTAATGGGTCTGAAATTTCATCTAGTGATCAATTCTAACATGTTATAAATGAGCTACTCAACTGTTAGTTCATATATTCCTCTAAGTAGTCAGAGAAAATGACTTTCTATTGGTTGAGGATGTTCCAATTGGTTTGTCACATACGTTTGTAGAATACATCGGTTGTCATACATTTTTAAAACATTAATTAACCTTTGTCAATAATTTTTAATTCTCAACTTTATTGATATTGATAATTTTATTAATAGTATTAATATTGTTTGTGTTCTCATTAGTAAGCAGTCACATGATCAATATCTGGAGTTTCCTGAAAGGAAAACACCAGCCAAAGGTGCAGAGTTACTATGGCAACCTGAGGTGATCAAGCCATACCTGTTGATACTGTCCAACTGTTCTAATCCTGTCACACTCGAGGCTTCTGCCGGAACTCTTCAAAATATATCAGCCGGAGAATGGAGGGTGAGTGAATTTGTTAGATAAAATACAATACTAATCTTAAGATAAGTATGTATGTGTATGTAACGTAGCCAATACTTTTATTCTTAATATTATTTCATATCACGTCCAAACACAGGTGGCACACCACATACAGAATGGAAATAATCAACAGGCTTTCATACTGGCACAAAGTCACAAATAATATAAAGATTGTAATTAATGATGAAAAAATAATTTTCTTCAAATTTTTTCCTATAGTGGGCTGGTTACATTCGTGCATCCGTACGCAAAGAAAAAGGTCTTCCAGTACTTGTAGAATTATTGAGAATGGATAAAGAACGAGTGGTAAAAGCAGTTGCCTTAGCACTGCGAAACTTGTCAATGGATCCAAGGAATAAGGAACTTATTGGTAAGTTGGCAACTCTTGCTTGTCTTATTTTGTTGATACACTAATGTTTTTCTTTTAAGTGTTGTTTTTAATGTAATTGTAAAGGCTATTGGGTGAACATGGCTATGGCCTTGTTACCACAATCTCTGGTATTTATAATGAAATTTACCAAGGTATTTTAACAATTAATAAATAAAATGACAACATTTCTAAGGCAGCTAGTTTCGTGACGATATTACTGGAGTGGCCTAATAATTGTTCTATATATATCATAATGGTTAATTTTATATTTTATTTTTGTAGGTAAATATGCTATGCGTGACTTGGTGTCTCGGCTTCCCGGAGGCGGTGTTAATGACACAAAATTGTCTGATGAGAGTACACTGGCTATTCTTACGGCCCTCCAGGAAGTCATTTCAAAGAATATGGAGAATGCAAAGTAAGTGGCAAATTGTTTTGCTATTACTACTACTTGCTCTTGGTTGCTTTCCTCTCAAATCTTCCACTTGGGAACTTAACTAGGAGGTGAACTAGACATATAAGTTGTTAGTATGTTAATTAAAAAGTAAAGGTTCAATTAAAAAGTAAAGGTATATGCAGCAAAACCTCAGTTTTACGAATATTGATTTTACGAATGAAGTAAGTTTAAATTTTTGATGTATATTGTGATTGGACATTGAAAGTTCATGTGACATGCTATTGGTTTTTTTTTTTTTTAGATCATTACGTGATGCAAGCGGTATTGAGCGTTTGGTAACAATTTCAAAATCCAAAAAATACCCAGCAAACGTAGTGAAGGCTGCCAATCAGGTGCTGTTTACCATGTGGGGCTTCCGAGACTTGCGGGCGCTTTACAAGAAAGATGGCTGGGAAGAAACCGTGTTTAATCCCATGGGACTGAAAACAGGAACTCTACCAAAGTCGGCCACGGGTCCCAAGACCCAAGCAGCAAGGCAAGCATCTGCTCCAGTAGGTGCCAGACCTGATGAACCAACATGTAAGATCCAAGTTTCCTACATTTCATAGTAACATTTATTTACTTCAATACATAGTAAAATACAATAATGCATGTAGTAAAAAGTAAACTAGAAGAAGTTATTTCCAATAAAAGTGAAAGCTTGTGTGCAGAAATGCCTAAACAGTGGACAATAAAAAAAGAGGGAAAACGGACAACAAAACATAGAAAAAGACAAAAGAAAGACAAGAAAATGATTGTCATTAATAATTCTAATAGAACAAATTTACTTATTTATTGAATTTAATTGAATATTTTAATAAAAGATACAAACTGCCTTTTTCTGTTTTGGGAATAAGCTGCTAGTCTTTGACTGATAGGTGTTGCACCAAACAATTTTAACAATAATTTAAATATGGGAGGATGAGAGTGCAGTAAAGGGTGTTGATTAACTGAGAGCTTGTTAGCAGAAAAATAATTGTAAACGTTTGTTAATTCTTGATTGACAACTTCAAAAAATGTCTGCAAATTTATATTAGTGTAAAGAATAATTGAAAGCTTTGAATTGGTTTGAATTAGATATATCTTGTAGTTATGTTTAATGTTGAGAAATTGTAATGGTGAACAAACCCATTATTATTCAGTGTTTATATATTTTGTCCACTGGGAGCAACATTCAATACCATTACAAATTGTTTCTGTCAACTTGATATTCAAAAGTTGGCATTTCAAACATTGTTATGTATCATATTGGTACATGAATTAGCCTAGTATTTATTACCATAATTAAGTATGATAGCATGTAATAAAATACTTGTCCTATTCTCGTTTCCTTCATAGCAACAACAAATCCCAACTATAGTGATTCAACAATTGGATCTAAATATGGTGGCCCACCCACCGATGAGGGACCACCGCCGATTGGCCAAGATGATCATAGAGGTAGAGGTAGGAAAACCACTGTGAATTCTGCTTATTGATGTTTAGCATATTGTGTGGACAATACACTGATAATGCCATAATTTATCTAAAATTATTCTTTATTTACTTGAGTTGGTCTAAATAAAAAGCTTTCATATTCCTTCATTTATTATTTTATCTATTTTGGTTTAATATTCAAAATATAGCATTTTTTTAGCCTTTTTTTTATTTTTTTTTTTAATTTGTGATGTGGCATTTATATATCTAAAGCCCTGTCCGGACTATCAAATTTTTATTTGACAAAAACATGTGACTTGCCTAATATGGTCATGATGACATCACATCATGGCCATATATAGGCACATCATGACTATATATGGGCATACAATAGTTTTTTGTCATCAAAAAGTTTGAAAATCTATACAGATCTTGAAGCATTTTTGTTGTGAAGCACCAAATATATATTCAGTGATTGCTTATCCCAGCACACCACAATCCAATCACGTTTCACCTCTTTTAAATATCATGCATGTGTTCTGTTAATTTATTCATGTTTCTCTTGATTTGAATATCATTTTATTTTTCTATGTAATTATTTAACCTGTCAACATTAATTTGTTTAATATTTATTTAATGTTAATTTTTTTAAATAATTGAAATAACATAATGCATTCCAAAATTAGCCTGTTTAAGTTCTGATTGCTTTGCATGAATTAATAAACATAATTACTATTATATTTTTGTTCGTACAGTACAATTTTTTTTTTACTAAACCAATAAATTTTAGTATAGTATGATAATGTTGAGGCCTTAGTGCGAATTTATAATTCAAATCAAGTTTTTTTTTTCTACTTTCACATTGTATGTTATAATTCTAATTCTAGTGTTTGTGTTATTCATTAACATGTATACTAGTTGACATTGATGGAAAATATGATAAAACATTTGTTTTTTCATAAAATTCACATAGTTGGAAAAATTATAGCAAAAACCAGTTTATTTTAAAATCTATTATTTTTCATTAGTATAAAGCAGTTAATCAAACTAAAGAGTAATTGTAGTTCGACTAATTTTATGATACTGTATTTTACCGAGTATAAGGCCAAGGAGGGCGTGCTGCCTATGAAATTCACAACAAATTTAAGAGGTGGGCTTAAACTCAAATGAAGGCTAGCATCTAAAATCTTAATTAAACTAGGGTGGTGGGCATATACACGAGCATGGACTTATCCCCGGGTAAAATACAGTTCAGTACTATTAGATGTTGCCAATGTATTGACCAGCTTTCATTGATTCCTCTCTATCTCTCACAATCTCTCTCACATTTTCTACGCATTATGTTTGTGTCACTGCGTATGTGTATGCTTGTGCCTATTGCATCGTAAGCAGTCATTGACGTCTTCGACCCAGCTTATGCTTCGGCCGAGGAGGTGCAAAACTATGCCAAGGGTAAACGTTTATCATTTTGAAAAACATATTACAGATATTTATAAATTTCATATCATTTTTGTTGTTAAATTTAATGTAGCTTTCCTGTGGGCTTGCGGTTGTATGCCTGGGTTTATTTGGACAAAAAACATTAAAAATTGAATTAATTTCATTTGGAAGAAGGGCATGAAATTTTATGAAAGATAGATAAATAGGATTTCCTCAAACAATCCAAAGAAGCCAGTGTGTTTATTTTCATTGGTGGTTCCATAAAGATATTGTGGTGGGTCCTACAAAAATTGATATAGTTCTTAATACCTCCATGATTTAGTAAAGTATCTCTATATTACAAATCACCATTATTTCCATTGCATGCTTTACTATGTCTTAGTACATTAATCTTATTTATTATCTCTATATTTTGTCTCTATTTACTTATAGCAATTATTTAATCTTAAAACAGTTTATACAATCATATAAGTTGGTTAAAGGCTATCTAGTCAATATAAGGTGTTGGTAATGCAAACAAATGCACAAATCAATCAATATTATATATATATATATATATATTTTTTTTTTAAAGGCAAATGTGAAAACCCATAAAACAGCAAACGGCCGCATAATGCAAAACTATTTAAAATTAAAACGGAACAGTAGAGAAAATCCGATCAGAATGACAAAATAAACTAAGCATCCACTGGAAATAATCCCAATATCTGCAGATGGATCCGTTTCGGCCTTCCAGGCCTCGTCATTGCAGCTAGGATATAGACCCAAACAACACGTTCGACCAGCTTAGGTAGGGCCCAAACTAGTCCCACAACCACTAAAGATTACAGGGCCAAACCAAGGCAATATATATACACAGCCCAGGTGTGAATGCAAATAGTGGAATACAAGCTATGTGGCTCGATTTCAGTAGATACAGAGAATATTTTGTCATTCTTAACGCGTCCTACGAAATTCTTACGAGACAGCACTAGTCCGTGAA